AGTCGGTGACTAGTCGACTATTAAAATAGTTGTTAGTTGCAGCCCTATTTACCAATGATCTCTTGTATCGTGAGATGAACTCTTTTCCAGAAAGTTTGAATATAATTGCAAGACCAAAATAAATGGATATCACAACCTTCTTCAATGCCATCTTGTTTGCTTTTCCCTGAAACTGATGTCATAACTCAGACGTGAGCTCTTACCTCTACCATTTTTTACATAAATGATGTGTGTGGTCGCTCAAATCAAAATTAATGAAGAGAGACAGTGTGAGAGTGAGATGCACCACTCTGAAATTAGAAACTAAACTAAGCAAATTCTTTAAATTGATGCAAATGTTGTCGTCCGTCAACTACTTCATCAGTTTAAATTCAGTCGTAGTTTTGCTTTAAGTATAGAGTTGAAAGCATCCGTAGAATGTAAAGCAACTTAGATACAGAAATAATCTGCTGCTGCCTGTTCAATTATGCATTTTTAAACACCTTGTGGATTGTGAGATACTGATATTAAAACACTGACTTGATAGAAAATACATACCTTTCTCTAGTTTTTTTTTTAAACTGACCCTCTGCAAATTATGTTGGCATTCATTTATTGTTTGCAGTTTATATTTATTACTTGCATGACTTTAAATTGATGCGTGTTTGTATATTTTTGTTGGAAATGTAGCTAAATATGATTCTAGAAATAGACTGAATATTTTATTTAATATGTATGCATCCCATTTTTGACCCTCATCTCCTTTTTAAATATTACTTTCTGTCTGAATTATTGGGTTTCATTCGATTTTCTAGTTGTCTTAGTTTAGTTTCCAGGTGTGCATTTTGTGTTGGAGAAAAATGTAGGGAAGCAAATAAAAGTGAAACTGGTGAGTAACAGTCCTGCTTATTATTTCTCATGATTTCTCCTTGCTGCACTTTGCATCAGCTCCCCCTTAGATCAGACGGAAGGGAAAATAGTTCTGAATTCCCTTTTCAGTGTGTGAATAAGTGTGAGAAGTGCAGATCAGACTGATTTAGACCGGGCCTGGCACTCGGCTTGCTTTCGTGGCCTTGTGTAAACTGTCCTCCTTCCTTTCTCTCCCCCTCCGTTTCCCTGTGACATCCTCCTTTCCGTCATTTGCTTATATAAGATTCACCCTGTGAAATAGCTTTGTCTGGGAGCATTTTTGGGAGGCAGGAAAACAATGACCTGCTACTGGAGGTTTGATTACTTAAAAAACACTTAAAACAAAAGAACTGAAAAATTCTGCCTGTATGGATGTTCAAATGAAGTGTGATTCAATAGGAATGCCAAGGAAATTTACAGTTTATTGGAGGGAGAAGAAGTCTAAAAAGCATTAAACGGTATCATTATATTACTTTATTGTACATGTGCAACAAGTGTCTTAAAGATACAGGTTTAAAAAAACAACAAAGCATTTATGATCAATAAAAAATTAGATAAAAAAAGTAACATGTTCACAATCAGTAGCTATTGCGTGTTCAATATTGTGTTTCCGTTGTAAATAAAGTCAGGAAATGCCTGCGTAAAGTGCAGAAATTGAAAAATGTGCGCCGCTGTTGGTACCTTAGACATAATTCTCAAAAACGAAAAGAAGCACACGTCTATATTTCTTTCTTTATTTTCAATAAGTCCCCGCTTTAATGAATATATCTTCCAGAGACGGCAGTAATCATCATCTTACATGATAGTGTCACCTAAATACACCCTGTTGCAGAACAGTGCACATGCTTTGTGTTCATGCTAGCTAAATCACCACTTTCCTCTTCTCACATTTTCATGATTTAGTATTCCTTAACAGGAAGTGCTAAAGTTCTGCAAGTTCATCTGGGCTGCAGGACCAGTGTTGGGGAGTAACGGATTACACGTAACGACGTTACGTAATTTAATTACAAAAAAAGAGTAACTGTAATTCGTTACAGTTACAATGAGAAAATATGTAATTGAGTTACAGTTACTTTCGAAAATATTAAGAATTACAAATTTAGTTACATTCTTTTAAAAATATAAAGAAAAACCTTTGCGAAATATGCAACTCACTGATAGACGAAGCGTATTGATTTACTAATATTTGACTGTTTGGTGTTAATGCATGACAAACGTTTATCGATGTTTATGACCTAGCCTAGCCTAGCCTAGCCTAGCCTACCCAACTGTAGGGTGACCAGACGTCCTCTTTTTCCTGGACATGTCCTACATTTAGACTGGGGTTGTCAAAAGTATCGATGCTTAAAAAAGTATAGATACTAAAATGTTGTATCCGGATACGCCCCTTGTCTCCGATTTATTTATGTATTTATTTACGTTGTTTATGATCATTAACAAGACGTTAGCCTTGAACTGCTAGCTACATGCTAAAATTAATCATGGCTCAATACTCATTAAAACCTTAAAGTAATCAAAAAGTAATCAAAAGTAATTAGTTGCATTACTTTTTAAAAGTAATTGAAAAAGTTACACTACAATTACATTTTAAACAAGGTAACTTGTAACTGTAACGGATTACATTTTTAAAGTAACTTACCCAACACTGTGCAGGACTATAGAAGCTGTTCCATATATATAAAAAAATAAAAATAATAATTCCACTCAGTTTGATGTTCTTGTCCTATGTTTGCAGTTATGCTGTAAGTAGAATGTAATTATTTGTATAAACTGGGTCAGCCAAAAAATGTGAAGATATTTCACTCAATTGTGACTTGGATATTTGAGGTCAACTTTTCTTTTGGAGAGTTTTCCCAGCTCTTTTCATCTTGGACAGCTTGTACATCTGCCGCAGGAACATGGTGAACCTGTATCGCTCCCAAAGTTTCCGAGGTGGATCGCTCCCTTTAGCTTTCAAGTGGCCGCTTTTATCACCTCAGCTGCAACAAATATGTCAGGAATCCTACCACACCACTCCCAAAGTTCTAGGTGTTATCCTGCTGTTCACGAGCCAATCTTGATGTTTCTAAAACCGTTTTGTTTGTTGCTTTATTCCCTGTTACTCTAGTCCTCATTATTCTCTTCTTATCCTTAAGAATTGACTTTTGTTTTCACTCTGTAGCTGGTAGCTTTGAAACACGTGGTCCCATCCTGCTCAGTCATAAAAGGGAACATGTTTTTATTTTTATTTTTTTATTTTCCAAATGACATAAAAATTCTATCTGTATTGGTATGTTTGTAACACAAACCAGACTTCTCATCTCTGTGTCTATATCTTTAACTTGTTCTTTTAGCTAGGGTTGTCAAAAGTATCGATACTTAAAAAAGTATCGATACTAAAATGTTGTATCCGGATACGATACTCATTTTCAAAAGTATCGATACCCCCCCCCTTCTCTCTGATTTATTTATGTATTTATTTACGTTGTTTATGATCATTAACGTGACGTTAGCCTTGAACTGCTAGCTGCGGCTAATGGCTAATAATAACATGCTACCATTAATCAAGTACATATCCGTCTCAACCCACATCCAAATCGGCCATTTTGATTACGTCACCAAAAGGGAAATCCCGGGCAAGAAAATAGTAATGCCTCATGGCAATATAGACATTGATTTACAAATAGTGAAATTAATCTTTCAAACACTTAATTAAACTCTATCCATAATATTATGTTAAAATAGTGGATCTTAAATAGGTTTGTACAATAAGTCCAAACAAGTTTAACCCAAAAATTGTTTCTCACAATTATGAAGGGTGGAGGCTTAGGGTTAGGGTCAGGGTTAGGGTCAGGGTTAGAGTTAGGATTAGGGTAATTAATTCGGGCCACCAGCCAAGATAACATAAGTAACAGGTCAGTTTGAAATGAAAGACACTAACCTGTCAAAATTCATTTAAATTTTGGGGTCTTTGTTTTTATCCTTGTGGTATCGAAAGTGGTATCGAGTATCGAGTATTTTCCTGAGTATCGGTATCCAGTTGAAAATTTTAGTATCGTGACAACCCTACTTTTAGCCATGAAAGGAGTAGCTCAGAACCAGTCGCATGGTCTAATTGACAGCTTACTATTTAATTGATTCAATTTGACTTTCAAATTCAAGCCAAGTAAATTCCAATTTATTACAATCACAATCCAATCAATTAGGCAAGGCAAGTTTATTCGTAATCCAATAAAATAGTTAAATCCCGATTATCCCAATTGATGCATTAACAAATAAAAATGAATACCAGCTGGGGAAAACGAAAAAAAAAAAATCACTCCATCCCAAGCATGTGGAAAATTCAGTTTGAACAGGAAGAAACTTTTTGGAATATCCAGACTCAGGGAGGGTGGCCAACAACCTTATCCCGCTGGGGTTTGAGAGGAGAGAAAACGGCAGCAAAACGTCTTCTTTGATACCTCAAAGAAGACAAAAAAGACAAGTCAACACTAACAATAATGTCATATGAACAAGGAGAAAAACGGGAATGGAGGGAAAAAAGATGGCTCACAGGGTTCCCCCAGCAGTCTAGGTCTATAAGATAATAACTATGGGATGTTTCAGGGTCACTTGAGCCATCCTTAATGATAAACTTTATAAAAAAGGAAAGTTTTAAGCCTAGTCTTTAAGGATTTAATTGGTGTCTGGTTCCATCACCACAACCTGTCTCTGTTGGAAACATGGAATTATTAGTTTCTTTCAGGAATGATGGTGTTTAATAAATGAAGAGCTACATTTTAACATGGAGTCAATGAATAGAAGTCAAAATACAATCTCTTAAATTTTTTTCCAGAACTTTGGCCTCAGTATTTTGGATCAACTTGGAATTATTATTATCATTTTTACTAGTCAAACGATTAAGAATTACAATAGTACAACTTTGAAGTAATACTTTTGATGCACGTTTTGCAGTAACCTATAGCCTCTAGAACCATTTTTTTGTATTTAAATGACCTCATTTTCAATTTACACCTGCATATCCCCGTACTAGAATCAGTTAGACCTCAACTAAGAGCTAACAGAGCTTTTACAGTAGGCTGTTGGATAATTAAAGATTTCTATATTTGACAATTTATTTAAAATCTTCTGTAATTTTCTTTTTGTAGTTATTGGAAACATCAATCCAGTTAAACTCTATAGATTTTATGTGGTTAAAAAAACATCTATCAGTGCAATTTGAAGTTATGTAAACATTTATAAAAAAAAAGGTGATGAACTACTATGTATAGATCTAAAATCTAAATGTGTTTATGTCATTAAAATAAACCTTACAATCAATTGAATGTTTTCAGCAGTTTTGACATACTAACCTGTAGTATTAAAAATATCTAAACAAGAAAATAAACAACTATACAAATAAATGTGGTTTGAATAAGGGTTTTTCTTTAATTGCTTTGATTTATTGCTATTTTGGAAAAAGAGTAGTTGGCTGAAATTGGGGACAATATAAAGTAGCACAGACGGAGACCTTACTCTACAGGAAAGGGGAAAAAAAACTAGAAAAAACTCTTCGTACTACAACCTGGTTTTAGGAGCATTTTAAGTTGATTATTATGTAATCTATTATGTCATAAAAATAATCTCTGCATGCAAACATTCGTACCCCCTTTTACATCCTGGGTTTGGATGAATGTGTGTGCTCAGCGTGTATTTTGCCACCTCAGGCCGCGTCTGTTTTTGTGTGTTTTGTGCGTTTGCTCTTTGTTTGGCGGTAAACGGTCCCTGTGCTCTACTTGAAAGATGTGGGCCACCCCTCCTCACCCCTCCTCACCCCTCCCGGGTGTTGCAGGAACTCTGTGACTACGTCTGTTTGGTGTTTCCCCTCGTTGCGTTTACTACAGCGCGCCGTATCTCTTCCTGTCCTCACACGCACAGATAGTGCCAAATTGCAGCCCATAGACTTGGCTCTCCTGTTTATTTGTGTTGAATCAGTTTGGACAGTTTTAATGTCCGTTTATGTTCAGAATTCTTCTTCAGATACATAAGGCTTGAATCTTTTAACACTTTGAAAGACATTAAGTTCAAACCTTTAAGATGGGTTGGAGAAACCCCTGATAAGTGTAGAAAATACAATGAAAGATTTAAGCAGAAAATGTTATAAATAGGGAACTTGTTAGAAATATGTGTAGATTTGGGGTTTTTGGGGCTGATCACCGATAACTTTATCTCTTCTAGGGCTGTAATAACCAAAGAAATTCTTGGTTGACTGAAAACTGGAAATTTTGACTAGAAATCGATAATTGGACTATTAAACAAGTGCAAACTAATTCAAAATATGCATTCCTGAAAAATAAAGTCTTGGCTCAAAACAATAGCCAACAAACGGTGGCCACGGACCCTTTTTTGCGTTACGCAAAACAATTGAAGAAAAAAAAAATAATATTTTTTTAGATGTTTGTAGCTGAGCTGTGATATGCAAACGGTTGTTTTCACATTCTGCATTAACTTTTTGCCCGCCATCTACAGAGCCCTCAATATTTATTGGCACCCCTGTTTGAGATGTGGTCGAGGAATTCTAATTCTAAAATTCTCCCTTTTATCTGACATAAAACCCAAATGCAACAGAAGAGAAAAATTCAACCTTTAATTTACGTACATTACTTTGGTGGTTAAAAATAAAATCACAGGGAAAAAAAAAGGAAAATCATGGTTCCCAGAATTATTAACACCCCTGATGTTAATATATTTTGTACAACCTTATTTTGCAAACAAGACAGGACTTAATCTCCTCCTATAAAATTTCACAAGGTTGGAGAACACAGAGAGAGGGATCTTTGATCATTCTTCTTTGCACAATCTTTATATATCATCCAGTGTCCTCGTTCTTCTCTTATGCACTCTCCTCTTTAGCTCACCCATAGGTTTTGAATTGGGTTGAGGTCTGGGGACTGAGTTGTCCAAGGGAAGACTTTATTTTTGTGTCTGCTGAACCATTTTTGTGTAGATTTGCCACATGTTTTGGATCATTATCCTGCTGAAAGACTCAATGATGACCCATCTTCAGCTTTCTGGCAGAGGCCATCAGGTTTTTATTTTAAATGTCCTGGTATTTCAAAGTGCTCATAATGCCATGCACCTTAACAAGGTTCCCAGGGCCTTTGGAAGAGAAACGGGCCCACACCACCACAGATCCTCCACCATACTTCACAGTGGGTATGAGGTGCTTTTTGCCATACTCATCTTTTGTTTTACGCCAGACCCACTTAGTTTTTTTTACCCAAAAAACTCAATCTTAGTCTCATCTGACCAAAGCACACCATCCCAGTTGAAGTCCGAGTGCCGCTAAGCAAACTCCAGACGTTTACGTTTGTGAGCGTTAGTGAGAAAAGGCTTTTTCCTTTTACTTTTTAATGTACCCCGGGCTTCAACTGAGTTGGGAAAAACTGCCTTCTCCTATTCCGCACCCTGGGGTTGGAATAACCTCCAGAAAGAGCTCAAATTAAAAACTCTAGTGTCCATTAATGAATTCAAAGCAACCATGAAGAGTGTAGTGTTGGAGATATGTGCTTGTCTTTCTTGAGATGCTCGATGTGTTTTAACATATTGCTCTGATTTTATTATGTAAAATGTAATGTGTATGAATTTCTTGTGGTTTGGCTGCTACCTCGGCCAGGTCTCTCTTGGAAAAGAGATTCCGAATCTCAATGAGACTTCCTGGTTAAATAAATGTTAAATCAAAAAAATAAAAATAGAAATTCTGTGACAGTGAGCTTAGGACTTGTTTTTACTTCTCTTACCATCCTCCTCACTGTGCACCGTGGCAAGATAAACTTAGGACCTCTTCCAGCCTTGTTTGTCACTGTTCCAGTTGTTTTAAACTTCTTAATAATTCCTCTGACTGTAGATACGTGCAAATTAAAGTGAGTTATTTTCTTGTAGACATTGCCTGACTTCTAAAGGCCAAAACGCATCTGCCTTATTTAAATGGCGTGTTCTCTTGTCTTTGCCATGCTGAGAAATAGGTAAGAGAATTAGGCCTCTGTGTCACGTTATATTTATACCCCAGGGAAACAGGAAGTCATGAATTACTAATTAAAAGTTCCTAGATACCCTGACCAACTTTAGCAACTACAGAAAAATATATTTAAACGAAATCAATTAAATGTTTCAGCGGAATTGTTAATTAATTAATTAATTGTGGGACGCATGATTTTCACATTTTTTATATACCGCCAAAGTAATGTACTTAAATAAAAGGTTGGATTTTTGTCTTTTTTTGCATTTGGGTTTTTTGTTGTTGGAAAAAAAAGGTGAATTTTTTTAAGTCCTCGACCATATCTTAAACAAGGGTGCCAATAATTGTGGAGGGAACTGTATTTTTGTAAAATTCTGCCATACAGCAAATATCTTTGACATATTAAGTCGAGGAAGACTCACTGCAGATTAAACTTTTAAAATAAAAGTCAATTTATCAGCAAAGTTTTGGGTAACGTGCTTCAATCTGCCTGTCTCAGGGTGTTGGGCTAAACCAAGAGTGAAAACAAGAGGGGTGTTCTCTAAAGACTGGCACAGGTGTTCAGAGCACACCAATTTCATAGGTGTGCTCTGAACACCCCCATTAGCGCTTGGTACTTTCCTGCTGATGAAATTAATTAATTATTATCTATTATATTATTATTAATTAGACTTATACCAGTTTTTATGATAAATATCACACTCAGAGGCAGTAAGTTGTACTGATAACATTGTATTTCCAAATCATTATTCTTCCTTTTGAACCACACCATGCTGTTCTCAGCTATTGGGAATGGCTTATTTGTTTTCGGTACAAATAACTTTTTTTGGGGGTTGTTTTTTTGTTTATTTTTGTTTTTGCGAGACCCTACCCAGCCACATTGATATAGCTGGTTTAGAAATTGAATCAGTAGTGATGTTTGAATCCAAATAGCTAATTAGTGCTCTTCCAATTTATGTTGATAGTATCTGTCATGATTTCGGTTTCGTGTGTTTATGGAAAAGGGGGAAAAAAAGCACCTTGACTGACTTGATGTCTGGTTATTGCTCTCTATTGACAGATTAACCTTAGTTTGGAAACTTTCATTAAACTGTGATAACTGAGGGACTTGTGCATAACTGAGTGGATATTATCTTTTTTGTTTCGTCAGATTTAGCTGAATCTGCTTGCTACTATTATGTAAATACAATCACAAGGAAATATATTTATATATTTCTGTGTGTGTGAGTGTGATCAGACTTTAATACAAAGCCCTAAATATTTTAAGATTGATAGTATATACTTGACTTAACTCCAGTTTTGAGTATTGTTGTCGCTATCTAACATACTTTGCTTGAGAAGCAGTCTCCTGTCATTGTTTGTGAGGGTAAAAGAATAATTTTAATCAATTTTTTCCACAGTTGCTTTCAAGCTATAACTTTCTTCTTTGCTTTCTTGTTACATAAAGTCCATCAGCTACTGAATTCTGATCTGGGATTTGAGGTGCTGTCACTTCTATTGACACAGATTCTTCTGCGATTTTAGCTAAAGTGCTGTTGTGCTGTTAGAGTTAGAGTTAAAGACAACCGTTTTTAAGTTGAGTGAGAACTTCATTCAATATTTAACCAAATATTGCTTTTTGTGTTTGATTTGTATACTTGAAGATGTTTTTTTGGAAGAAAATATGCTGCTTCCTATTTAGTCACGTTTTTATAGAAATGTGGGCCGATTCACAAGAAGATATAGGGGTATAGCATTAATTTTGGGAGGTGTAGAGGAACCTGTAGAGGAGAAATACCCATAATCATAGACATAATTGTTTAAATATGACTCGTGTACTCTCGTAGAACTTACTGTTTATTGTCCTACACAGATATGTACAGGAGCTAATTGTTCAAATGTGACTTGATATGACCCATGTACCCTTAAAGTGCTTATTATTCATTGTTCACAGGACATCTTATCCTAAAGGGAGATCAGGCCTTGCTGACTAGATTCTGTGGCCAATGAATAGCGGCGTAAATTTCTTCAGAATTTGGAACGCTGTATGATTCATGTGCGGCCATGTTGGTTGCTCTCACTTCATAAAGTTCGATTTCTCCTCTTAAATAATTGCTTCCTCGGACATACTAACCTCCAAAATATTTCCACAACAAAGCCACAAGTGGATCATGGACACGAGTAGGAAAAGCAACAGGAAACGTTTGCCCAGATAAAAAAAAAACACTAAAATCTAATAGTTTTTTTTTTCTTTTGCCTGCGTCCATCTGTGGCTTTTTCCCATCAGAATTTCTACAACAAATATGAAAAGGGCTTTAGTTGCAATAACAGATGAGCCATTGCGTAGCTTTGTTTTTTGTTTTTTTTTGCTTTTTGTCCCTCGTCGTGCTGTTAGAAATTTGAAGAATGTAGACATAACTAACATGAACATGAATTGGGACTTAAACCTAAAACCTTATATCATTTATGTATTTATTTTTTCAATGTAAAAAATGAGAGGTTGTCTTGGTTCAGAGTCCAGCGCCAGTTTGTTGTTATAGTTTAGCTCTTAGCTCCACAGCTAGGGTTGTGCGGGTGGCGTGCACACACAGACACACACCCTCAGACAGCCACTGGTATCTGAACCTAAGCCAGGTTTAACAAGCTAATCTCGTGTTACTCAACCGTCCCGCCGAGGCGTGCGTGCACATCGGCGAGGCCGTACGCCTTTCAAGTTTTAAGTATATATATTTAGAATTGTTTTGGCTCTGCTTGAGTTGGTGCCGGCGGATCCTCCTGTGCTGAGTCATGAGTTAAAGGGCCACATTGTACGGCAGAATTCCTCATTACTAGTCGCTCCTTTTGTCGACTGCCTATTTTTGATGTTGCTCAACCTGCTCTACTAGAAGTTTGTTTCGTCAGAATAGCAGAGGTTGTACTTATTTGTAACTAAAAATGGAATTTTGTTGGAGGAAATACAGAAAGCATAGATTTATAATAGGTGTGCAAGAGGTAGGTAAATGTGGACCGTGTTATAGACGTGATTTGCTTGTTCACAGTAAAACATGAGAAGAATAGGGCCTGGACTGAATTTTCACATTTTAAAGGCTAATTTTGTGGGATTAGGGGAAATTATGCTCAGGATCCGAAGAGGGGAAACATCAAATCATAAAATCACTTTGTTTTTCCGAAGAAAAATGGAAAAGTTGTCTGTATATGCTTTATTTGTTGTTTGCTTGTTGTTTACGTGGATGCCCATTACTAGCTGAAGTAATGAAAAAGGCAAAGGGTTATCAATTATGCATTTATAAGATTGAAGGAAACTAGCGTTTAAATCTGAATGTTGAGGTTTTCATTTCATAAAGTATTATTTGTGTAATTGGAAAGTTTGATAAAAGGCCATTTCACGAATTTGATCAAATATCTTGATTCATTTCTGCTTTCCCCACATCTCTCCTTTCCCTTTCGCCCACCTTATTCTCCTTCTACACCTTATCTCTTTTTTGTTTCCTGAACCCCGTCCCCCCCTGTTCATTTCCCCATCCTGTGTGGATCAGAGGTTGTGGTGAAGCACGAGTACGAAGCCCTCCAGGACGACGAGCTGACCTTACGACCGGGCGACGTCATCAAGAATGTGCAGTACATAGAAGAGGACGGCTGGATGGAGGGAGACCTCAACGGGAAAAGGGGTCTGTTCCCTGTCAACTTTGTTAAGGTGGGTTGAGATAGGTGGGCTTTCCTCATGCTGCTCGGCTATAGGATTTAGAGAAACGCGGCATTTTCTATCTTGTTTGCATGTTTCCTTTTGTATCATTGTAATATTTGTTTTTGGACAGGTAATGTTAACTCATTGACTGCCAGCCATTTTCAGAACAGAGAGTCGCTCACTGCCAGAGTTTTTTGAGAATTTTGACTGATTTTTCAAGAGCCACAGAATAGTTTGTGCTATGACTATGTAAACACCGAACACACCAAAAGAAAGAGTAGACTCTCTTCTTTCATCAGGAAAAAAGATTTTGTTTCTACCTTATTCCGTTCTTCTTCGACGTGTGTCTCACCGGCGCCATTTCTCTCATAGCGAACTATTGCGTTTGTTTTTATTTGCTTACAATCTATGCTAATCTCCCATCAAAAGTGGCACAGCTACCTAGAGGGTAAATTTGTTAGTCCATACTCTGTCTAGAAGCCGATATTTACGGGAAAACTTTCGCCGATCGTCCCCCAAGCCACTCGCATTGAAAAACATAAAAGACGTCTATAGACGTCTTTGGCAGTCAGCGGTTGGATTTGAAA